AACATCGAGGAATGTGAATGAAGTCGTCCAGGAGGAGGTGTAGAAAGAGAGAGACAGGGGGCCAAGGATGGACCCTGGGAACACTAACATGGAACGGAAAGAAGAGGTCAGGAACCAAGAGAGTGAGTCACCATGAAAACTAGGAAAGTGGAACGGGGAGTTTAATTGGGAGTCCATGGTGGATTTCAGGGATCCATGAACTCCTGAATGGTTGTGTATATATACAGATTCCATGGCTGCCATCAACTTCCCAAGTGGGATCTCTGACACTAGAAAAGGTAAAGAACCTCTAGGGGGTTGAGTTCAAAGAGTAACCAGCAGTGTTGAATACAGCTGCACCAAGGATTTGAAAGATAAGGACTGAATAGTATTCACTGGACTTGCCAATGTGCAGCTAGCTCATGGTGACCTGTGGCAACAGTGGAGTAGTGGGAACAAAGACAAGACTGCCTCGGGTGAGTAGTAAGCAGAAAGTGACAAAGTAGGGAGTATAAGCCAATGCTGCTGGAATCAGCCTCGTCAGATTCTCCTGGAGGGCTTGTTGGAGCACAGCTTTCAGGGCCTCTCCCCAGAGGTTCAGATTCAGCAGGTTGGATGGGGGAGCCCAAGAAGTTGTATTTCTAATAAACTCTCAGGTGGTGTAGACATAGCTGGTCTGTGGACCACAATAATGTAGGCTACTTTATCAAGATGTTTTCATGAGAAGAGGCATGGTTGAATGTAACTAGAAATATATTAAATAATGTAAACCTTGTTTTGAAATAAGAGTGGCAGGTGGGTGGCGCTTTTGACCCCTCTTTGACCATATATCCTGCCCCCTGGACTGTGGCACTGTGGCCACTGACAGAGGAAGTGCAGCAGGGCTTTCCTGTGAGTCCTGCCCACCCCCTAGTAGGGGTGGAGGCCTGGAGTGCTCTCTCGTTCACTTTCAGCTTAGAAAGGGGTGGTTTCAGGGGACCACTTGAGAGCTTGATGTGTGTTCCCAGTAGGTAGGGATCACCACTGCGTGACGCTTGACTCATGTCAACAGTGAGAAGAGGTAGAGGGATGTAGCCAAAGGAGGGACAGGTTGCAGAGAGGCTGAGTCAGTGTGGAGCAGGCCACCAGAGGACCAGGGCCTCGCTGGAGAGAGGCAGGTGAAGGGAGGGACTCAGTCAGCTTTGAACAGTGGCCTGGCAGGAGCGAGAGGGACAGGATAGAGGACCAGATCCAACAGGGGACACAAGTTGACTAGTGGGGTGGCCAGAACATCACGTCATAGAGTGAGAATGGACTAGGGCTCCTTGTAGAATTCTTCTCCCTGAGTTGGAATTATGTGAGATACTCAGACTAGGTTCTTTCAATTGAATGATGCATTTTGAGCAAGGGAACCAGTTAAATGCTTCAGGGAGGGTCTGGGAATCTTTGCCTTTATATACAATTTTTGTGCATTTTCTGGGATTGGAAGAGGGATCCATAGCTTTCATCAGTTTTTCAGAAGGGGTCTATGATCATAAAGGATTAAGACGCACTGTTCCTGGAACAGGTCTGAGAGTTCTCCCTGGTTCATGGTAGGCCTGGAGGAAAGTGCTGCAGGATGGGGCTGTGAGACAGGATGGGGCTATGAGACAGGCTGGGGCTGGTACACGACGCCGTGGGAACTCTGCTTACCCTGCCCTGATTCTCAGTTCTTTGTCCTCGAATTTCCAGCATAAACATCCTGGGCACTGCTGCCTCCGGCTCATGGTTCCAGGATTACATCACTTCTGTGTCTTCTCTGTTACATTTTCACACTCTTCTTTGATTACTGCTCATTATTGTGGACACTGATCATATCATTGCTTGCGTTTCTATTTCACATTGACTGTGCCTTTTCCCCAGGCCTGGGGTTTGCTCTCATTGGAAGCAACTTGTTTAGTATTAATATATTCAGCTGGCATATGCCCTGTTAGACCTTTGTCTGTATTCCCTGCCTAAGTCTGACTGCTTTTGTCTTTGTAGGTCTCCGGGCTTATCTTTCCTTGAGCCATGAATACATGACAGCTTTTTTCCTCTGACTTTGCACTTCAATGTGCTAAGATAACTAGATTTTCAAAATGAAGTGTAAACTTTTCTACTTTGATACATTTTCACTTATACTAATGTGTTACTTTTTATTAGTTTCAATTTGAAAATTCAACTGAACCTCATAAAATTCCAGTGTCTGATCTTGGAGGTTATCTCTGCCCATCTGCCTTCCCGGGAACATGTTCAAGCTGAATGAATATTGATTACAGGGTTTATTTCTAAAGTCATTTCATGGGACATAGACTAGATTGAAACAGTTTTTCTTTTCTCGCTTGGCTATTATTAAATTTGTAATATGGGCCTTTTAAACCTATTTAAAGGTAGAAAGAATAGCATGACAATCTGCTCTTGTACTCACTACCCATCTTTGACAGTTACCAGCATTCTGCCGTTCTGTTTCCTCAAGCCTTCCATGGAATTTTTTGTAAATATTTTTATATATATATATATATATTATCCTCACCCGAGGACATTTTTCCATTTTTTGTACAGATAGAGTGGGAGGGAGAGGGAGGAAGAGAGAGAGAGGGAAACATCGATGTGAAAGGGACACATCGAGTGGCTGCCACCCACACGACCAACCAGGGCCGGGGACAAACTGCAACCGAGGTACATGCCCTTAGCGGGAACCGAACCCGGGTCTCTCCGGACCGCAGGCGGACGCTCTAACCGCTGAGCCAAACTGGCCAGGGCTGTCAATATTTATATTTAAACTATAAAATACTACATGCAAAGTTTTAAAAAAATATTAAAATGCTACAAGCTTATAGTTTTAACAAGGTAAAAGCAAACACTCCCAGTCCCCAAGTCTACTTCCTGATGTTGATGTTTCATGTGTCCTTCCTGAAGGGTTTTATGGTGAACATTTGAGAATGTGGGTGTATATATAATCTTCCCCATAAATAAAATTATACATTTTATACTATAATATGTTTTTTAATGCATTTGGGATATTTTCTAAGTCAGTACACAAAGAACTACTTTATTAATTTTCTTTTTCTGTTTATTGATTTTAGAGAGAGAGGAAGGGAGGACAGGGAGATAGAAACATCAATGAGAGAGAACATCGATTGGCCAACTCCTGCATGTCTCCCTCTGAGGATCAGGCCCACGACCTGGGCATGAGCCATGATCAGGAATCAAATCAACGACCTCTTGGTGCATGGGTCAATGCTCAATCACTGAGCCACACCAGCCGGGCGAACTACTTTATTTTATTTTTTACATTGTTCAGATAGCGTGGGAGGGAGAGAGAGAGAGAAACATTGACGTGAAAGGGACACATCGAGTGGTTGCCACCTGCACGACCAACCAGGGCCGGGGACAAACTGCAACCGAGGTACATGCCCTTAGCGGGAAACAAACCCGAGTCTCTCTGGACCACAGGCCGACGCTCTAACCACTGACCCAAACCGGCCAGGGCTTTATTTTATTTTTTTATTCCTCACCCAAGAATACTTTTTATTTATTATCTGATAGAGTAGGACAGAGGGACGGAGAAAGAGAGAGAGACCGAGAGAAACATCGATGTGATAGAGCCACATTGACTGGTTGCCTCCCGCGCAACCCTTACCAGGGCCAGGGACGAACCACAACCAATGTATAGGCCCTTGACCGGAATCGCACCTGCAACTCATTGGTCTGCAGACTGATGCTCTAACCACTGAGAAAAACCGGCCAGGGCCAAACTACTATATTTTAAAAAAATGATTGAGTAGCATTTCATCCTAGTAGGGCATCATAATATGTATTCTTTTTTTTTTTTTTTTTCCATTTTTTGTACAGATAGAGTGGGAGGGAGAGAGAGAGGAAGGGAGAGAGAGAGAGAAACATCGACGTGAGGGGACACATCGAGTGGCTGCCACCCGCACGACCAACCAGGGCCGGGGACAAACCGCAACCGAAGTACGTGCCCTTAGCGGGAACCGAACCCGGGTCTGTCCGGACCGCAGGCCGACGCTCTAACCGCTGAGCCAAACTGGCCAGGGCATAATATGTATTCTTAATAGTGATTAATAGATAGGAAGTAATATAGTTATTGCCACACTGGAGTTTTCTGTGATATTTATTTAAATGTCATATCACTGGATGAGGTATTGCTAAGTTGCTCTCTCAAGTGGTTATACCAGTTTATGTCTCCTTTGTTAGTGTCAGAGATGTCTTTCCATGCTTTGTCATCATTGTACTGTTAGGCTTTTTAGTCTTTGTTTGGTGCATATGAAATGGAATCTCATTATTAGAAATAGCATGTTCCTGATCAGTCATCTTTTCACACATTTACAGAGTCAGCTGTCCTTTCTGTAAATTGCCTATTTGTTTCTCTGTAACAAACGCCTTTCTGAATTTTTTAGTTTTTTGATAGTTATGTCAGTTGCCTCCCTGGATATTCTAGATACCTGGTCATCATATACACATGGTGTCCACTTAACATCTCTTAATTTATTCAGAGCCCATCTAATCACGTGGACTGGCACTTCCAGATAGTGTTAAATAGTGGTGATGACTGAGTACCCGTACCTTTCATAACTGTAATGGAACTGCCACCATTATACTGTTAAGCATGATGCTGCCTGCTGCCTTTTGTTGAGATATATTCTTTTTATCATGTTAAGGAAATGTTTTTTTACTAAAAGCTTTTATCAAGAGTGATTGTTATTAGATGCCTTCCTGTCACAAAGATAAGTTTTTTTTTAACCCTTAACCCATTATTATGGTTTATAATATTGAATCTTTGATGTGCAGGAATAGAAGTAGTGTGCACCTTTAATTGGTTGCTTTGGGAGAGCTGCAGAGTTCCTCTTACACAATAGAACAGTTCCTTCCCTAAGGAAATGCATTGATGGCACATTTTGTCATCAAAAACCACTAAACTGAGTAGGAGAATCTGAGGCAAAAGGGAACTAAATTTGTTTTTCATCATAAGTTAACAAGAATTTTTTTTTTTTTTCCCTCAGGCTGCTTGATGTCTGAGAGGGGGAAGTTTGGGGGGAGTTTTGGACAGGGGAAGAAAGCAAAGGAGGAGACCCCAAGAGCTCCTTGAAGGAGGCAGAAGGGCCAGGGCACCAGGACCATGCCGATGGGAGGAGCTCCCAGCTATTTGCATTTTTCCTTCTTAAGTGACAATGTCATTTCTTTCTAGTGCTTTTATAGTTTATTTTTTATGTTTAGATTTTTAAGCTATTAGCAGTTTATCTACACTTAATTTGAAGTAGGGATTGAACTTTTATTTAAATGTCTAAATAGTTGTACTAAAATCTTCCGTTTACTGACTAAACATACATAATGCCCTGAACAAAGGGTCAAAATCTGTATAGAATAAATTCATTCATTCTTCATTTTAATGATAGCATGAGTATTGCATGTTTGTGTAACAAAAGGTTGGCATGAGTAGTGGAATAATTGAATCCCATTAGTAGTAGCATGATAATTCTACACCAGAGTTCCCATGGGCCTCCCTCTCCCTTTACTGACTCTGTGGCTTGAGCTTTTTATTGGTTCACCAGTGGGTCCTGGGCCTGAACACTGCAAATCCTGTTGGAACTCAAGCTGGACAACAGTTTCAAGGGATCAAAAGGAATGTCAAATTGGTCTTGGCCCCAAGGCTGGACATTTCTCAGTATGATTACATCAGAGATCATCATGAGATTACTGCCAGCACATTGTTTCTCCACAAGTTTGCTTGAGGTTAGACAGGATGGTGTTTCTGTCCTCATGCATCTGAGGTAGGCCCCTTGGCTAAGGTGACTAAGCGACTCCATTTCTCCATAATAGGTTGATTACCCCTAGAAGTAATGGAACTTTGCCTAAGGCTATGGTTGACCTACGTAACAGGATGTATCTTTCATAAACTCACCCTGACGATTTCTCAGTAACAGGAACTGAAAATCATGAACCCAGTGACTAATGCTTATCTTGGCTTCTGTAATAACTGCTTTTGCAACCACTATTGTACCAGTTCCCTGAGCAGGAGCCAAAAGGGAATGTAGCTTCTGTCTCTAAAAGCTGAGTAGCAAGAACAATTGGGGCTGCTGATTTGGGAGACTTATGCTCCTGCAGCCCGCCAGTGAATAAAAAGCTCCTCTCATTTACAATTCGGTTGTGCGTCTCAGATTGTCTCACTGGCTCGTCATAACACATCCTGTGTGGTCGTGCCTTTACCCCCTCCTCTTTTAGATACCCAACAGAGTACAGCAAATGCTTTCCACTTTAGTGGCTGGGTATCCCTCATTCTAGTTAGGTGTATGAAGGAACTGTCTCCTGGAGCCCACGGATGGCCTCTCTAGTGTGAAGGTCTTAGACTAGTTGGAATTATGTGGCAGCTTGGGTTTGTAGATGAATGAATGGGAAATGAGATGCTGCAAAATGAAAAGTGAGGTGCCAGTTTCCAAAAGCCTGGCCCAGGAAGCTGGCATAGCATCATGACTTAGTGTACTGGGCAGAGCAATCTAGGAACCTTCCCAGATTTGAAAGAGGCTGCTTTTGCTGTTGCTGTTCATATGCCCCTACAATCACTTTCTCACAAAGCAGCCAGAAGAATCTTGTTTTAAAAAGTCATTTCTCTGTTCAGAACCTCCAGTGGCTTCCATTACACTCCAAGTAAAACCTAAAGTCCTTTTTGATGCTCTGTGGCCCTGTGTGTCTTGACCCCTTGCAGTCGCTCCAAAGTCCTTTCCTACCTTTCTTCCTGGTGTTCACTCCACCTCAGCCACACTGGCTTCCTGGATGTTTCTCTCACACTCCGATTTTGTTCCTGACTCTTGGTCTTTGCCTTAGTAGTTCTACAGCCTGGGAAGCTTTTCTGATTTTTCAGAGTTCCATCTATTCAAAGGCCTCCTCCTCAGAGTGGTCTTTCTGGTTGCTCTATGTGAAACAGAAACCTATGTCATTTTCTGTCCCCATAGCTAACTTATTTTTCTTCATTGTGTGTGTGTGTGTCTAATATATATATATATTAGAGAGAAAGGAAGAGAGAGAGAGAAACACTGATATGAGAGACACACATTGAGTGGTTGCCACCCCCATGACCCCAACCAGGGCCGGGGACAAACTGCAACCGAGGTACACGCCCTTAGTGGGAACCAAACCCAGGACTCTCTGGTCTGCGGTCCAACACTCTAACCGCTGAGCCAAACCGGCCAGGGCACATGTATATTTTTTGTATTCATCTTTTTATCCCACTAAAAAGAGTTCCATAAGGGTGGTGATTTTGAGATTTGTAAGTTGAATTTCACTAGTACCACAGTATTTATAAGCCAAAAACGAAGTGCTCTTCACACTAGGTTTAAATAAGAAGCATGACACCCTGGCCGGTTTGGCTCAGCAGTTAGCATGTCGGTCCATGGACCGAAGTCGCAGGTTCAATTCTGGTCAAGGGCATGTACCTCAGTTGCAGTATGGTCCCTGGCCCTGGTCAGGGTTGTGTGGGAGACAGACGATATTTTTCTTTTTCTCTCTCTCTCTACCCCTTTCTCCGCCCCCTCCTTACCTCCCTTTCACCCTCTCACTCCATCTGAATATAAATGGAAAAATATCCTCAGGTGAGGATTTAAAAAAAAGAGAAGCATGATGGACAACTTGAAGAGGAAGCACTGACCTCCTCACTCCTGCCCTGCATTGTGCCCACCTGCTGCTGCCCAAGGGGTGGGAAGAGGGGAATGTCACAGGGCACATTTCTCTGGATGAAGGAAGTATTCTTACTTAGACCCCCAGCCCCCAGGATGGCCCAGACAGGTGCTCACACCAGTACATCAGCGCTGGGAAGGCTCATCCAGACAGTGCCCTTTGTGTACCAGCATTTTACATGGCTCTCGGGCCAGCCCTGGGCTCCAGGGGAATTGGAGAGGAGGGTTGGTGGGCAGGCAATAACTGCAGAACTATCAACAGGTTGTTAGGTCGTTACAATAGCTTTCATCGTGTATCCCCCTTCATGATGGAAGTACATATGCACATTTTATAAATGAAAAAACAAAGGATGTGTGACTCACCCAGGATCACAGAATAGGAAATAGTGGGGCCTAGGAGACTCAGGTCTTCTGGTTCTAAATAAACTATGGCGTTGTCTCTCTACCATCAACATGGGTGCGTTATCTGTCGGTGTGGTCCGGTGCCACTTGTATGTGGAGCTGCCCATGAAAGGTTTGTCTGGGCCTCTCAGCTGGTTACATCCTGAGTGGCTTGTGTGGCCCCAGTGTTTGTTACAGGTGTTTGTAGTAGCCTGTTGAAAAGCAGCTGCTTACGTTTGGCTCTTTGGGGGTGTTTTCCACATCCTTAAATGGTTAAGGAAATCAATGAATAAAGTTTTACTGCACTCAGAAATTAGTCACTTATTTTGGGGCCTGATCTGAAAAATGAAGAAGTTGAATTGGATGATTAGGGTACTTTCTCTTCTGACTTTCTGCAACTGTGTCCTGTGATCCTGATTTGAAATTTCAAAGCCACCATATGAATTGGTAACCATTTCCCAGAACCCATCCAGGAGGGGCTGTCCAGTGATGGCTGAATCTGTCCCCTGATTCCCATCTAGTGTTTTCACTGCAAACCCAGGACTGGCTTTGGCTCCCTCTAGCACGTGGCTGGGACCCCGAACAGCACCTTCAGTTTGCAATGGCTCTGCTTCGGGTGACTGTGCTCTTAACTGCTGTGCTTGATTCCTAGATTCTTCAGCTAACTACAAGCAAGAGAAGTGAGGCTGCTGGAGTTCTCTATCAGTATTGGGGTGGGGTGGGGTGTTTTTTTGAAAAGAAAGAACTCCCAGGGCACCCTGTGTCACAGTGGCCTGCTTGGAAGAAAGGCTGGAATTCCACAGCCCTGGGCGCTGCCTCATCTCTGACGCCGCTGAACCGTGTTTTCACAGGTGCTGTTTTCTGCTTCATATTTTCATACACACAGTACATAGTAGGGAAAGTGTCGCTACTGACAAGTAGAAAATGCTATTTTTTAAGGCAGTTTCTGGGGGGTGGGGGGTTGTGTGTTTTTTTAATGGAATTAGTTCTTGGCTTTTCTCCCAGTCCCAACCCCCCTTCCAGCTGCTAATGTCCCTGGGTAAATACAAATAGAGATTGCTGTGTGTATTTTATAGGGTTCTCTGTTTTGAAGAGGGAGAATTATGTTACAAATGTTTTCGTTGTAAATAAATAAAACACTTCCTTGTCCTTGCAAGATCTAGTATAAATTTAATTGTGTGAATTCAACTAAGCTTGTAAAGTCAGTAGGTGGGGTGAGGGACAGCCATTTGTTAAGACCAGTTGGATCAGCGAGAGGGGTTATTGGGTTTGTTTTCTAGAGCCAGAGCAATTCTTTTCTATTTACCTAATAATAAAATGCTGTGCATTTGGATAGGGGTTCCCTTGAAACCAGGTCCTTTCTGTGGGGAGCTGTTTCAAGACAGTTAATTGGAAACCTTGGAGCCAGTCAGTCCTCCTGCATTTGTGCACCCCAGGGCTTCCTAGACACCTCTCATGGCTGGGGCCTGACTCCCTGGCAGGGCAGCCTCTGTGCCTCTCCTGGGCTGCTCGCCCTCCTCCTGGGCTGGCCCCCACGCCCTGTCACTTGGCTCTGATTCTGCCCCTGCCGTCCACCCACAGCTGTGCGTTCCCATCTGCAGATACACTGCCCAGTCTTCCCCACAACACCCACACTGCCCTCGGATCCTTTCATCAGCCCTATATGCTTCCTCTTTACCCTCCTGACCCTCGTCTTCCCTTCGTGGCCAGCGTTCTTCAAGCGTGCTGTCTACGCTGGCTGTCTCCACTCTCTCACCGCCAGGCGCTTCCAGCCTGGGCCTCTAACCAGCGGGCATTTCTGTCTCTGCTATACTCCCCGAATTTCTAACCTCCGCAGTCTTGGATTTCCTCCTACCCCCTGGGCCACCATTTGGTTTCAACTCTTCTCATTGCTACCCCTCCTCTCACCCTTCAAAAAACACTTCAGCTGTGGCTGGTTTGGCTCAGCGGTTAGAGCATTAGCCCTCAGACCGA